GCATTTCTTGGATGAATAAGAGTTTTAACCTCCGATAACACGTGAATTGAAAAAACGGTTTTGGAAAAAGAAACAAGGGCGGAATCACAACAAGAGGGGGCGAGGACATCACATGAACACACACACACATGCCGGCTCTGAACGTACAATAGGGCTTCATTTGAGAGAATGGCTAGTGCTTCCAAGAGCCATCAAGATCCGAAAGCAAGAGAATAAGGCAAGAAACAAACTGCCCAGCAAGTAACTTTGGGAAAAATCCAGAAGCATTAACTTTAGAAGAAAGTGCCTATGATTTCTACGAAAAGTTAAGGAAAATAATACACTGAGTGGTGTTTTGCGTACATAGACCAAAACTAATAACATTCCAGAAAGACGAAAAAAAAAACAAAAGACCATGAATAAAATAAGCCCAATTGGCTGAAGCTGTACGCATAACGGACAAAAGCAGCCCTGCACCGCCCATTCCTAATTAACAGCGCGTCCCCTCTTTCATTAGTATTGCAGAATAATTCAAGACGGTAACAAAAGCGTCACTCACGACGCTTGGCCTGGAAGCATTACCTCTTATCCGTAAGCCCAAATCGAACATTAAATGAACAAAGGAAGTGGAAAGCTCATCACGATTCAAGGCAAGAGACGCGACGTCACTCAAAGCCGCGAGTGAAACATGCAAGCGGCGGTTGGCTATAGTGCTCCCAAACTCGCCTTGAAAAGCGAGTGCCATGGCATTGAGATGCTAACTCGACTTGAATGGCATTCACATGCAAACTAGCCTTATTAAGTGGACGGTGTGCCTGAGCACGGTGCAAGCTTTGAAGGCTCAGCCTGTTCAAAGCAGTCTAGGAAACTTGACAGCTCACTTTTAACAAAATAATACCGTTACTACAGTTATCAACTATGAACTATCAGTGAGTAAAATGTGACGACGTACGTTCACGGAATAATGAATAGCAACAAGCAAAACAAGGGAGCAAATTTATCAACTTAAATAAACAACTCTTGAATCAAGAAACCAAGAGAGGAAAAGTTCAAGCAAAATTTCATAAAATGGTTCGCTATTAGTTTTAATTCATAAGGTTCAAATTATATAAAAATATTTATATTGTTACATTGAGGCAGTTGGTCGGCACCATGGAACCGCTTACCTTCGAATAGTTGAGCATGTGTGGAGGAGAAACTTATATACGCTCCAGCGAAAGATCTTACGAGACTAGACAAGGCCAAATTATTCCCAATTAACCACCTTCCAGGTAGCATCTAAGTTCAAAATGGTTAATTCTTTAATTATGATCTTACACTGAAACTTTTGCTCGCATCTGGTAATAAAACCCCCTCAATACAGTACAGTTACTCACATCAATAAGTAATCTAAGCAGCAAGAACCCATGTTAATCAAAGTCTTTGCAGTAGCCATAAAATACAGTAGCCAGTTGCTGCTGTAGCCATAAATTAAAAAAAACTGCTATGTCATGTTGCAGTAAAACTTAGGAATGATGCCTCATGCATTAATGAGAAAGTTATTCTTTCCATTTTCATTTTTTCATTTCATTTTATATTTTTACGCAACTTATCTAAATGCAAAATGTAAGTGCGTGACAGCTGTCAAATGTTTAAAAAACAGTTATGGAGAAAGTTGGAGAAAGTTAATGTATGCGACAATTTTTTTCCAAAACAGAGCAAGCATTTAAAACTAAAACAGATCAAAAATTACAGAATAATTAAAGATGTAAACGGACACGTTATCATGAGATGTTTTACGAACATAGACAGAATCTAGGTCACAGCAACTATCAAAGCTGTGTCATGCAGATGCATATAGAATTAATACACTACAAAACAAATAAAAACACATAATTTATACGGTAATCAGCACAAACCTAAAACATCATAAAAGCCATTGCATTTATTCATGCCCTCACAATACAATATATTCACTATGATGATGACTGCAGTAAGATTATCCCCCCAACAGGACGCATTATTGATTTGCGCCCTCAGTAATTGCAGCGCTGGAGAGACAGCCTTCATCCTCCAGCCCTCGACAATCACCAGAATTGATTGGCTGCGGCTTTTGCTCTCATCCCAAATGTGCTGCTTCCATCTTAAGCGTACTGATACAAATAGCGGCGCGACTTCCTTGTTACCCAAAATTTGCAAAATAGAGGCAAATTAGTTTACCCGCGCTTCAAAACAATCAAATACCTCGGACCTAAGGTCGGAAATTAGTCATCATTAAGCTGTAAAGGTGGAAGTTGGGGATCGTCGTCGATTTTCAGCCATGGGTGGTTTGACATTCATCAGCAAAAATTATACATTTAGAGACACAAAGGAACCCCACAATTGAAACCCGCATTTAGATACTACAAACTATTTTGGGGTCGCTCATGAACATAAAATACCAGTAAGAAAATGACTGTTCATATGAAGCGAGATAAATGCGAAACTTATTTCATTTGCCAGGATATGTATTATCAGGAATCCTGGTAATTCTATTTACAAAGATTCCCCTTCAGCCGAAATTAGATAGTTTTGATATCGTTCGTGGTTTACAAGACCAATTTGACTGACAAACCACAGCCCATTCTAACAAGAAGACATGACAATAGTTTTATGGTGTTGGCTTTCTCCAGAGCATTTTTCTGCAAATATTTTGGGAGATGCGAACACTGGACCTGCCAGTGAAAGTCAGATAAAGCAGATTGCTTCTTTCACGGCTTGAGTGTAGTTTTACGACAACTCATCCTAACTGCCTTGGATGAGCACAAGAACAATGTGTTGGTTGGTGGCAGTGCAGTCAGCTGCTCCGTAGCTACTTTCTTAACAAGCACACCATGTGCTGTCGTAAAACGAAAACGTGCCTTATACAGTGGGGGGAAATAAATATTCGTACACTTGAAAAATCGTATTTTAATGTATGTAAGTGCACAAACTTAACAGGAAAAGTGATTTAAATTATGTATAGAGACGCATAGTATTCAAAAATACTATCAAATTGCATTGAGATTTAATTTCTTTTGATAGTATTTTTGAATATTATGCGTCTCTATACATAATTTAAATCACTTTTCCTGTTAAGTTTGTGTACTTACATACATTAAAATACGATTTTTCAAGTGTACGAATATTTATTTCCCCCCACTGTATATGTCGTGCCGAAATCGCGGAATTGCCTATTCCATGGAATCGGCAGCCAGTTTGCCGAATCTTTAGAATCAGCATTTCTATACTATAGGCATATGAGGCTAGGTCAATCAGCCAAGTTCCTTTTTTTTAATATTTAAATATAAAGGAATCTGACCGAACTTGACCTAACTTTTTCTAAAACACTAAAACTCTAACTGTCGATTTATCTTCTACCTCTAACGTCCGGTTTTCTGAATCAGTAACGAAATGCTGATTCTACAGATTCGACAAACTGGCTGCCGATTACATAGAATCGGCAATTTCGCGATTTCGGAACGAAATAAATAACTAATAAGACACGCAAGACCATTTGCAAAAGCTACGCAGCACTGCAACACTCTTGCCATCAAATGGGAGTAACTGGAAAAGGGAGTAACAGGTGGGGGAATTTTAAATTTAAAAATTGTTTTAGATGTTTTGGGGGGATATTCCCCATTTTCATCAATAATACGACTATTCAACACAATTAAATTTTATCACTTGGTTAACTAAACTTGTGCATATTTTTTATGCAAGAGATTTGAGCATAAGAAATTTTGCAATAAAAAATTCAAAATTGTTTACGCATATTATGTATAACAAGTCTGATCTCGTTTACGGTGTGAAAATCTCTTATATAGAGTGACAGCTGCCGAACGAAATCATAGCCGTCATAATAAAACCTGGAGCATCAATATTGTCAAATTTTAAAATCATTCAAACGTCAAGTGTCGACGTATCGTGAGAGAAAGTGCAGGGTTTAGATTTTCAGGGGCAAATACAAGTCGTCGAGGTTTGTATTAAATAGGAACTCGTATCATGAAACTGGAAGTTCCAATAAATAGCATGAAATGATATAGTCACCTTTGTGATAAATTTCAACACCAAAAACGAGTCTAAATAAATTTAAAATCAATTGATTTTTCGGTGTATTTAGCAAAGTGTTGTAAACGCAATTAAGGTCATCTACCTAAATAAATATCATTATTTTATGAAAAACTTGACGATTTCCAGAGGCAGTGAGCACCGGCAAAGAAATAAAATATTTGCTGACAGGATTTTCCATTTCTCGAGCCACTATTCATCTCGTTCGGTATTGCACTGGCAATCGACTTTAAAGAAAATCATGAGAAAAACTTCCCGATTTTCTCGTAAAGCCCAGAGGAATTGGGACCCGTTTGGGACTCGAGATTACCGTCGGGTTCAGCATTATTATTGGGAAGCAGCGACGCAATGTTGGAGCATTGGATAAATTGAAGGGTAGCGATGCGAAGATCACGAGTCTCCATCAAAGGCTCTCAATAGAATCCCCGAAAAACATGGATGATAAAAAATAAGAAATAACATGAAATGAATAACGACAGTCATCGACGGCGGAGAGTCGACCAAATGTTGTCAATAGATAACGACTTTCGTATTGGCGGAAAACTTTCGAGATATCTCTGACAATGTAATGCCGACGAAGACCGTTTTAAAGTCGTAACCAAGGCAATCAAATAAAGCATAAAATGATGTTACAAACGAACTTACCTCTGAATGAGCACGCCGAAAGAAGAACGCGTTGCAACGTTGCTTGATCAGCAGGATTATCAATGTAAATGAAATGGCATTCTTCACGAAGGATTTTTTGCTGCATATTCACGCCAAAAATTTACAAGGAGTTTCACAAAAATTGATTGATCGGCAAGCGATTGAAGGAGTCCAGTTGGATGCAGTAGGTGTCACTCTCAAGTACCAAGGAGATGATTTTGGCCATACGTGTTTCTCACCATGCAATGAGTAATATGATACAAAGATAATTTGCACTAATGATTAATGACTGAAAGTTGAGTTGGGAGTTATCAATTTGTCAGAAATTGCAACACACACGGGAGCAGGGTTGAGAGGATCAGGTACATGGTGGAGCTGTAACATTAGCAAGGCACTGGCTGACTTCCTAGAGGGCGTCTAAAGTCATTCAAGTGGGAGGTAGCAGGAAGAGGTCCGGTTGCTGTTCCTCGAGACTGTGATATCGTTTGGTCCGAGACGTCAGACTGTGGCTCGCAGACGAGCTGAGTAGCAATAAGTGTGCTTGTGGAGCACACTTGGCGGCCCACCTCGCTCCTGACATCGTAACTTTGGTACCTCTCAGATCGAGGTGCCGCAGGGCTCCTGCAAGTTCGGTGCGCTGATGCGCGGCCACGGCAGGTACGGGTGGCAGACTTGCATACTCGCGCTGGTGCTGGCTGCTCACGAGCACAGGCTTGAGCTCCTTCCATCGTCGGTAGAGAAATCGCCAAGCGCACCGCGATGAAGCTCCAGGCTTCAACACCATGTACCGGAGTCCAGCGTCGCTCACGCTCCTAGAGCCTTTGACGCAGAGCACCTGCAATGAAGGGCAGCTGCGGCCGACCATGCGCATCATCGTGTCGTCAGCGGTGTGCCGTAACTGGAGGCGTGTGAGATGCGGCAGGCCACAGAGGAGAGCAGACAGGGTAGGCAAAGTATGAGGAAGTGGCGTGTAGCTCAGAGTTCGTAGCTGAGGAATGTAAGCCAGCAACAACAACAAAGGATCAGGCTCTACTTCAACCCAGTGCAGATCTACTGGGAGCCATGGTGGTCTGATTTGTTGAACTCGCCACACAACTGAATCGACACCAACCTGCAATCTGCACAGCCAGGTCCCAACCTGCTTGTAAGTTTCATGAGGAGTTTCAGCTTTCAAGACCTGCACCACCAGCCGAGAAACTTTTTCGATTGAAAGCTGACTCAAAGTAGGCACTTCGTCGTCTTTGGGGCGGAGTAATCTGGAGGAGGGGTCAGCATCATGGTCGCGCAGTGCGTTACTCATGATTTGAGGGCTATTTGAACGGCTGTCATGTAGCGACTTTACTACGCACGACACGGTGTCATAGCGCCGGAAATGCTTAGGTTCACATCGCGTTCTGCCCGAGATGCGGCTGGCCTTAGGGGAATCCGAGGGTCGTGTAGATAGAAAACTTATCTCACTAGGCCGCTTGTTGTACACCGTACTGGGGTGAAGCGTTTCAAACACCCCGCGACACCCCGGCACACAGCAAACAGAGTGCAGCTCCGTCAACGGGAACACAGCGCCCATCTCTGACCAGGTATTATCGTCCTCTGGCTCCATCACTGAGATTCAATGCAATAGTTCGCAACCGTTCCACAAGCTCATGAAGTGTTTCAAATTGTCACAGATATATGGGTGCTTCATTTTTCAAGACATAAAGATTGATTTTTAGGCCTAAAATGTCAATTCTGCACAAAACGGCTGTAGGAATACGAGGAAATATAGAAATTACTAAGGAGATAGTTTCTTCACTTGGCGCGGATAAGGATTTATGTACATGTTATTAAATTGAGGACGTTCGGTTCAAGCGGCATAGATGCGAGAAAGATAACGGCATAATTTTCTTAATAAAATTTTAGATTTTTCAGATTTATAGTTAAAAAATATTTCAAAACTTTCAATAAACATTCACTGGATAATAGTTAAAAATAAAATCGCTCAAATCAAAAGCAACATTCAAATTATCACAGGATATTGAAAACGGAACAATGAACAAGAAAATGACACGAACAAAAAAAATTGACTGAACAAATTCTATTATCACTACAGCAAATTCTCCGCAAGCTAAGACTTGTTCGGACATCGAAGACAGTATGAGATGTAACAGGAACGTGTGGGTGCGTCAGTGTGAGAACATTGCCTGCTTCGCAGGTACAAATTAGGAGGGCAGACTCTTGTTAGCTCAGCACACAAGGGTTACCCCGCGCTTGGGGTGTATGCACCCTCTCTATACTTCCAGCGTGAACCCGCAGCCACAAAGCGCAAGAAAACTTTCCACTAACTTCACCGTAATATTAATGGAACTTCACTTGAAGCCAAGAGATGAAAAAAAAATTCTTTCGCACAGTCAATGCGAAACTATTATAAGATACTTTCAACAATGAAGTTGGGTAGAATAACCTCTGGTACTAGAACCTTTTTCATTAAGAGCAAGTTTCATATTTACATCTTATCGTTCCTAGAATACATCAGAATATTTTCCTGAAATTTGCAAATAACATAGTTCAGTATTACATTGTTGCGTCATGGTATAAATAAAATAGAAATTCATAGCTAACATGACGGAAAACTCGAACTGAGATATGAAACCTCAAAATTGAAGAGTTTTTTTATTATTTAAATGAACATCAACGCAACGCATGAGAACTGGCACTATCATGTATAAGTGACTAAAACGTAAATTATACAAATTGGAGAGCTCGTTTATCACTCGAAATATGTACACATTTTCCACATCGCAACGTTGAAAGGACATTCATATCAACTTTCATATGCCCCTATTGGTATAGACGTACGCCATGAAGTAGTTCCGCTCTCGTTATACGGATTACTTTCTATTGACAATAGCGTTCGAGAGTGAAGCTAGGCTGTCTTAAATAATAAATAATATAACTCAGTACTCACTGCAGTGAGTGACAGAGAGCGCATTTTCTCGTCGACGAAAACTTGAGGTCACGGACGGACGTAATTTTAAAATTAAAATATTAAAAAAATTAATTTTTAAAATCAATAATTTTGTAATTTGATTCTTGCGTTGTCTCCAGCTTTACGCAAGTGTGCAAAATTTCAGATCGATAGGATAAGTAGAAGTGTGTTAAATTTAGATTATAAGATTTGTAGCAGACAGACAGACAGACAAACAAGAAGTGAAGTTAAAGAGAAGTGTTGTAAAAAGGAAAGAGCAACCGTGAAATAAAATCAATGTGATCAGCAATGTGATCATGCAAAGAACAGCTCTAAGTTTATTCAAAATATTTAATCCATAGAAGCGGTGGTTGGGATTATTGGGCGCATTAATCTGTCCTAATATCGCGCCTAGCGCAGGTAATCAGCGAGAAAAAGAATGAGCACTTCAGCGCTAATGAGCTAAAGCAAAGTGGCTAGTCCAGTCAAAACACGGCTTTAGGAAAAATGTGTAAGCTTGAATTTAGCCGATCAGTTCCGCTAAATGATGCTCATTTGCCAGCGAAAAGCAACAGACTACTCTTCTATTGCTGATTAAAACACCACCAAAAATTATGTGCAAATACATCAACACAAAATTAACTAGTTTGACAACAAGTGAGTGCATTATCTAATAAGAAAAACAAAAAAGTTGAGTGAGTCACTATGACTCACTACACTTCATATTTTACCCCTCGCAGGTCCCACACAATCCGAATAACTAAACAGTAAGTCTTCTGGTGTGTAAATAAACTCATTGAAACGCACGGTTTTTAAAATTAATTCTCGCTCAAATGAGTCCAGCATGATTTTTTGGATGAAAGATCTAAAATATATTATATTCTCACGTCTAATGATCAGAATTTATGCGGGCAGAAATGATAAATAATGTTGTTTATTTGAAAAAATGTTATCGGTTTATACCTATTATGTTCGACATGCCACTACATATGTTCCCCAAAAACAAAATCCAGTTGCAGTTATACCAGGAACACGATGGTTCATTTTTACAACACTTCTCTTTAACTTCAGTTCTTGTTTGTTTGTTTATCTGTCTGCTACAAATCTTATAATCGATTTTCAACACACTTCTACCTGTCCAATCGGTCTGAAATTTTGCACACTTGCGTAAAGTTGGAGACAATGCATGAATCAATTGACAGAATAAACAATTTTGAAAAATTTAATTTTTTTAATTTAGAAATGAAATTTAAGAATTAATTCTTGTAATGTTTGAAAATAAAATTAGAAATAAATTGTACATGTGTAACATCGGAAACACTGGATTCTTTAGAAGTGTTGTCTTTAAAAAGTAATTTTTAAACTCGTATTATTTATAATAGATCTGGAAGGTTATCGAGTTCACGAAGATAGCATACGACTAGACCAGGAACAGCATAGATAAATAACGTACATCCATGTTCAGAACTTCTACATCCACCGATTTTACTCAAAAAAAGCAACTAATCAGTAACTTGTAATCAGTAATCAATCAGTAATCAATTGCTAATAGAAATTGTGAGCATAAGAAGTCAAACTATATAACTTATTTTCCGAGGCCAAAGACCTGACGGTCTCGTCTAGTTTTGCTCTGCAGTATCTTAGATACGGGCTTCAAAGTTCAGAGCCAGGGGAGTTACTGGACCGCTTAACGACCTCAGGCTTGCCTAGCGGCTCACACCTGGTCTGGCAAACGGCAAACCCCTGCAGTTGAGGTGAAATTTTGACGTGACTAAGAGGGCCAAGCATATGGAGTAAGAGGGCCGAGCATATGGAGTAAGAGGGCCAAGCATATGGAGTACGAGGGCCGAGCATATGGAGTAAGAGGGCCGAGCATATGGAGTAAGAGGGCCGAGCATATGGAGTAAGAGGGCCGAGCATATGGAGTAAGAGGGCCGAGCATATGGAGTAAGAGGGCCGANGACGTAACTATATACCTGTCTCTTATACACATCTAGATGTGTATAAGAGACAGGAGTAAGAGGGCCGAGCATATGGAGTAAGAGGGCCGAGCATATGGAGTAAGAGGGTCATGCATATAGAGTAAGAGGGCCAAGCATATAGAGTAAGAGGGCCGAGCATATGGAGTAAGAGGGCCAAGCATATGGACTAAGAGGGCCAAGCATTTTATGTGATCATCTGCCGGTGCGTTTTTGGCAAGTTTGGTGTGATATATACCTACCATCACAGCCATTTTTTGCTTTATTAAGTACAACGATACAAACGATCACAAATACAGTACACATACTACGAGCACTCTGCGAATGAATATTTACCAAGGCACAAGAATGTCATATTAAAAATTTCTCACACTTCTCTTCTTATTTGAATAACAATAATTGCATTTTAATTGTTTAAAGAGGAACATAAAAAATAATAAAAATGAATATTTAACGCAAAAATGAAATGATTCGTGTACCACACAGAAAAAAACCTCGAGCTTTAAGGTCATGTTTATCAGAGTTCAAACTGAAGCCTGATTAGATACCGACCGAAACTCAAGTCCACATAATATTTTATCATATTTTAGTGGCTGGCCTTAGCGTTGCTGCCAAGACTTCTCAATTTGCACCTTATTTCGTGGCGTTTTCCGGCACAGCCTCCCAACAACAGCACTGCACTGCACAGCCTCCCAGCAACAGCACTTAAGTTTGTGTACTTACATACATTAAAATACGATTTTTCAAGTGTACGAATATTTATTTCCCCCCACTGTATGTGTCCCAAGAGTGAGGAGAATATCATGCAAATAAATCACGAAACGAACGTAACTAGAGCTGTGTGCGTCATTCAATTAACACGCCCCTGATTATGAACGATCAATGCGGCTTAACATGGAAAGGAGCCCCTTCAAGAGTACGGCCAAGAGAAGCTCAGCTCATATAAATTGAAGGACCTGCTTTTTTCTTCATCATCAAGGCAGTCTAATTAAGAGCCAGCGAAGCAGAAGGAGCAAACTAACTCCCGGTAACGACAACAGAACCCTGATGAAGAGACTTATCCAACACTCTCGTAAATCCATGGCTTCGCAGAAGAGATTTTGTACGATTTCGAATTGAAGTGAATAAAACATGATGATTGCTTCCATACAGTAATTCATGGTTGAGCAATGAAGTTACTACGGTTCATTTAGTTTGTAGAATTTTCAGTATTGATGTGGGCATAATGCAATAGTTTTATTGGTGTGAGGACTATGAGTATGACAATACACTATAAATGCATTTTGAGAATATAGGTACATTGCAATCGGTAAAATGACTATTAGGTTTCATACATTTTGAATAATCTTGCAAGAAACCGAATTACAAGTAAGAAAGAATCTGACTATCTCCATTTCAAAATTAGTGAAAAAAAATTTTTCGAATAATAACTAAACAATTTTTTTTAAACAAAAGACCGATAGATGGTCGGCTATTTACTGCTTAAATAATTATTAACGAGTAATAAAGTTAATGAATACAACATCTTTTCGAGATTTATGAAGACTTCATCACAATAATACAATTTTTAAAGTAATTATACACGATAGTGATACTTGAGTGAAAAACGAGGAAATCATTTTATCATTAAGACCATAAGTTTTCAGTATTTTGTGATTGCTTCAGTGTTCGTTGTTGGCGCCTGCGCCTACTCTTGGCAAACAATGCAAGGTTTTGGTGTAACTCAAACTTGAATGCCTCAAATATGCATCGTTTTTATGCGGGAATTCGCCCCCAATAAAAACCCCTAATGCTGTAATTTCACGCGAGGTAAAAATGAAATTCAAT